TGGAGGGAAATACACAGTTAGTAATCATTACTGTGAATGGGAATGGGACAAACTCATCCATGAAGCAGACACAGACAGCAGAGTGGATTGCATGATTTAGACAGAAAGGCTGATACCTTAAACGAATTAGGGGAGCATAAAATAGTTTACCTGTCAGATTTACGGAGAAGGGAAAAATCTATGACCAGACCAGAGATAGAGAGCATTACAGCATGCAAAACAGATAATTTTGACTAGGTCATATTAAAAAGATTTTGCACAAACAAAAACAATCCAACCAAGATTAGAAGGAAAGCAGAAAACTGAGTGGGATGGGGGTGAAATTTAGAGCAACTTCTCTGATAAAGGCCTCGTTTCTCAAATATATGGAGAACTGAGTCAAATTTATAAGAACACAAGTCATTCCCCAATTGACAACTGGTCAAAGGATATAAAAAGGTAGCTTTCAGATGAAGAAATGAAAGCTATCTCTAGTCATATAAAAATGCTCTAAATTACTATCGATTAAAGAAATGCATATTAAAAACTCTAAGGTATCGCCTCACACCTATCAGATTGGCTAACATGACCAAAAAATAAAATGGCAAATGTTGGAATGGATGTGGAAAAATGGGGACATTAATGCATTGTTGGTGAAATTGTGAACTGATCCAACATTCTGTAGAACAATTTGGAACTTTGGCCAAAAGGGTATAAAGCTGTGCATACCCTTTGACCCAGCAATACTACCAATGAGATTAAAGGAAAAGGAAAAGGACCTATGTGTACAAAAATATTGATAGCAGCTTTTTACAGTGGAAAAGAAGAAATTGAGAGGATACACATTGATGGGAGAATGACTGAAGAAGTTGTGGTGTTTGATTGTGGTGGAATACTGTTATGCTGTAAACGATGAGCAGACTGCTTTCAGAAAATCTTGGAAAGACTTACATAAACTGATCCAAAATGAAGTGAGCAGAGCCAAGAGAACAAGATGCACAGTAACAGCAATATTGGATGATGGTCAACTGCAAACGACTTAGCTGTTCTCTGCAACACAATGATTTAAGGCAATTCTGGAGGACTTATGATAAAAAATGCTATCTACCTCCAGAGAAAGAACTGATGGAGTCTGAATGCAGATCATAGCATACATTTTTTACTGTCTTTATTTTTCCTGGGTTTTTTTAGTCTGTATTTTCTTTCACAACATGACTAATATGGAACTATGTTTTACATGACTGAGCACGTAAAACCCGTATCAAATTGCTTGCCCCCTCAATGAGGGGGGAGGGGAGAGAGGGAGTTTGGAACTCAAAATGTTTTAAAGAGGAATGTAAAAATTTGTTTTTACATGCAATTGGGAAAAAATAAAGTATTTTGTAAAAAAAAAAATTTTTTAATGAAACTCTCCAAGTCCCCCCCAAAAAAAATCATCAGTTATGCTAATCTGCTCAAGTTTCCATAAATTCTTTATGTATGTAGTTGCCATATACCAATTTGTACCACTATTTCTCCATTGTTGAGTACATACTTTGTTTTAAGATTGTTATCACAATTACTGCTGTGATGACTGTTTTCATTGTGTTGGGTCCTTTGCTGCTCTCTTGACCTTCCTAAGGAATAATCCCAGTAACCAAGTGAAAGAGTATAAATATTTTAGTAACTTCTCTTGCATCATTCCAAATTGTTTTCCAGAATGATCAGCCCATTTCACATCTTGCTAAATAGTGAACCAGTCTTCCTTAACCCTTCCAACATTGAATTCCCACCATCTTTGTCAATTTCATGACTATGAGGATACTTTACAGTTGCTTTAACTTAAATTTTATTGATTATAAGTGATTTTAACATGGTGTTATATGGTTGTTGGTAATTTACACCACTTCTTTTGAAAACTGTGCTCTTATCCTTTGACCACATGATTTTGGGGCAATGGCTTTCAATCTTAGAGTTCTGTATCAATTGCCTATACATATTACATATGGGACTTTTAATTAGATATACTTTAAAAGGCTGTTTTGTCAACATATATCTTTTTTTCCTAATTGTAGCTGCACCAATTTTTTGTGCAAAGCTTGGAATTTCACTGACTCAATTTCTTTTGTAATCTCCTCTATCCCTATCCCCTGTCTAGTTACGAATTCTTCCCACATCCATAGTTGTAAAAAATAGAAGTTTCTTCCACTTTTCTTATAGTGTGATTTTTTTACATTTTGATTACCTATTCCTTTGAAATTTATTGTGGTTTATAGTGTAAGATGTTAGCCTAGATCTATTATCTTGCAATTGTTTGCCAGTTTTCCAGGAAGTTGTCAAATTGAGAGTTCCTTCCTCAATAGTCTGTGCTCTTGGGTTCATCCAGCACTAGACTACTGGGGTCACTTGCTAGGCTTTTGTCAACTGATTGATTCTACTGATGTACTTTTTCTTTTTTTCTTTTTTTTTTAACGTGTAGCAGATATCAATCAATCCACCAACATTTATGAAGCACTTACCAAGTGCTTTATACTAAGGCTACAGAGACAAAAATGAAAGTCCCTGTCCTCAAGGTGCTTATATTCTATTGGGGGGGGGAGACAAGATACTCACAAATACATATATACTAAATAAAATTCAAGAAAATTTTTGGAGAGAAACACAAGCAAATAAAGAGATCCGGAAAGACACAAGTGGAGGGTGACCCTTAAGCTGAGTTCCAAGGGATATCCTATGAGATAACAATGAGCAAAGGGCTCATTCCAGGCAAAGGGGACAGCCTGTGCAAAGCATAGAGATGTGTGTTAGGAACTGCAAGAAGGCTAGCTAGAGTGTGTGAAGGGAGAGGAATGTGCAAGCCTGGAAATGAAAGCTGTGACCAGATTGGGAAGTGCTTTAAATATGAGGACAATTTGTATTTTATCCTAGAGGTGTCAGAGAGACACTGAGGTTTATTAAGAAAGGGAGTAACATGGTCAGTTTTGTGTTTTAATTATGGCTCTTTGGCAGCTGTATGAAGATGAAATGGGGGAAGTAGCTTGAGTCATGGGGACCAACTAGAGGCTATTGCAATAGTCTAGGCAAGAGGTGATGAGAGCTTGAGCTAGGATGGTGGTCATGTGAGTGGAGAGTAGGGTCATATGCAAAAAATGGAAGGAAGGAGAAAAGAGAGAGAAAGATGAGAGGGGAGTAGAGGGGAGGGGAGGAGAAGAGAGGGGAGGGAAGGGTGAGAGGGAGAGGAGGGGAGAGGATGGGAGGGGAGAGGGGAAGGGAGGGGAGAGCCAAGAACATATGCATGTACTATACTTATACTAGAAGGTAGAAGATGGAGGATAACAAATCAAAAGGAGAGGTCAGAGAAGTAGAAGATGACCCCAGAGAGAGCAGTGCTGAGAACAGCCCAAGGAGAGAGTCTCTGGGAGAAGAGGTAGCCAAGAGTGTCCAAAGCTACAGAGAAGACAGGATTCCTGGGGTCTGAGGAGAAACCATCCCATTGAGCAAACAAGAGATCACCAGTAAATGCAGAGAAAGGCCATTCAGGTAAGTGCCGAGGTCAGCAGCTGAGTTACAAGGGCCTGAGAAGTTACTGAAAGGCAAAGTTCAGGCAGAGAGCCTAGACAGTGCTGGGGTTTCCCCTAGGAGCTCAGCAGTGAAAGTGAGGAGAGACATAGGACAAGTCTCTGACCCAGGTGTCTCTGCTGTACTTTGGAGCAGCTACAAGTCATATTCCTCAGAGATTGTGGTGTTCTTTTTTGCCACCGTTCAGTATTACCAGAAGAATATTTGTGTAGAAAATATGTCTGCACTGAAGGGGGCAGGACTGGAGTGGGGGAGGAAAGGAGCCTTGAATGGCAACCTCAGTTTCCTCTGCTATGAAATAGGCAGAACACCCCAACCTCTCTCTCCTTCTGGTTGTAAGGACAAAAAGAGAACATTGGTGGGAAAGCCTTTTGTAAACAGCTCAGAGCTCCAGGTAAATCACTTTGGAGTGCCAGGTGTGGATCTGCTGATGACTAAGACAAAACAGGGCCTCTGCATGCCCAGGCCCATTGCAGATTTTCACTCCAGGCCTTAGTTATCTGGAGATGGAACTTCCTATGTCTCTGGTCAGTGCCAGGTCAAATGAAAGGTTTATTTTGGGAATAGAAGTGTGACCCATGAATGACTCATTTTGATTTTGTGCAGAATTTTTAAAAAAGGGAGAAGTGGAGGAAGGAAGGAAGGAAGGAAGGAAGGAAGGAAGGAAGGAAGGAAGGAAGGAAGGAAGGAAGGAAGGAAGGAAGGAAGGAAGGAGGCAAGGAAGGAAGGGAAGAAAAGGAAAAGAAGGGAGAGAGGGAAGGAGAGCGAAAAGAAGGGAGGGAGAGGAGAGCAAAAAGGAGGAAGGAGGAAGAGGAAGGGAGGGAAGGAAGGAAGAAAGGAGGGAAAGAGAGGGAAGAAGGAGAAAGGGAGAAATAGAAGGAAAGGCATCCCTTTAGGCTTGAAAAGTCCTCCTTGAGCCAAAGGGAGGTGGGAAAGGCTGAGGTCTCTCCTTTCCTCCCTAAGCAGACAGCTTAGATTATCCCTAATGCATGAATCATTCCGGTTTGAAGTCTTTCTAACAGTTGTCTGAGGGCTGTTAGTGAGACATATTCTCAACTAGTAAGGTATCAAAGTTAAACCTGGGAGGAGGGTGGGAATGACCCCCCTTCCATATAAAATCTTTGGTTTGGTATCTAAAGCCACTTGCCCCTTCCTGCCTTTCTAGCCTTCTTCCACTTTGCCACAGCCCAGCAGCACTGGCCTTGGTGCTGGTCCTTTCATAGTGCCTGCCGTCTCCCTGACTCTGAGAGTTGTCCCTAGCTGTCCCCCATCCCTGCAATGTTCTCCCTCCCACCTGCTGGCTTCCTGGTTGTTTCAAGACTTAGATCAAATCCCACCCTCGGCAAGGAGACTTCACTGGTCCTTGTCATCCCCACTGCTCGGGCTTTCTCTCTGAAGGGACTTTCCATCTGCTCCATATCCATCTCATAAGTACTTCACGATTTACCGCATATTTGACTTCCATGGTATCCCCGGTGCTTAACACAGTGCTTGGCATATAGTAAGCCCTCAGCTAATGCTTGTCGACTGGTGGTGTCAGTGTGACTAACAGTCATAGCCCTTCTCTTGCCATCACCCATGAGTTTCACAAACTCTGAAATAGTTCCTTTATTCAATTAGAATCTTTCAGCATTCCATCTTTCCCTCTGCATTAGAACCTGGTTTTTTGTGTGTTTGTTCATGGCAAGAAAGCTTTGTTGTTAGCACTTTGATTCACGGTTGGGGCTGGGGCCAGAGACTCAGGAGGACCCCAAGCCAGGCTGGCAGGAAGGTCCAGGTGCTAGTCATATTTCAGGTTGAGCCCCTCAAACAGGTACTTGCCACGTCCAGCTGGGGAGCCCACTTGTAGGTGTCACACCTACAAGTAGGTGGCCAGGTGGTCATTCAGATATTTCAACAGCTTCACCAACATCACCCTGCCCTCAGGTAATGACTTTCCAGGACATTGCGGAGATGTGTGTCCCCTTGGCTGGAGGTTAGGCTATGCACCTCCAGGAGGGCCTGGTTTGGGCTCTTCTCCAGGGTTAGGCATGTCCAGGCTGTGGTCCCACCCACCTTGAGCAGGCTTCTGACCCCCATGCTGGTTCTGCGACCACAAAAGGGCCTGGAAAGCTGGAAATGCTTAGTAACTGCGCATTGAGTGACTGGCTCAGAAGAAAAGATGCCTTTTGTCCTTGCCAATGTCAACCCCTCTGCATGCAATCTGGTTCCTATTCCCTCCCATATTCTCCAACAGTCTAGTCTTCCCATTATTAATTCCATTCTATCTTTTATCTTCAGTCCTTCTCTATCTAGTGATTCTTTCTTTGCCATTTGCAAACATGCCCATCAAAAAAAAACCACCACCTCTCATTTGGTCTTATTGTCTCTACTAGCTATCCTTCTATATATCTTCTCACTTTTTGGCTAAACTCCTTGAGAAAGTTGTCTACACTAGGTGCAGTGTAGACTAACTTTTCTTACTCTCTTCTAAACCCTCAGCAATCTGGTTTTCAACTTTATCATTCCACTGAAACTTCTCTCTCCAAAATCACCTAAGATCTCTTCACTGACAAATTCAAAGCCTTTTCTCAATCATCATCATTCTTGTACTCTCTACAGCACTGCTGATCACTTTCTTCTCCTGGACACTCCCCCCCCTCTAGGTTTTGATGACACTGTTCTAACCTGGTTCTCCTCCTACCTACCTGGTCACTCATTCTCGGTATCTTTTTCTAGTCCTTCATCCATTCAATTCTCACTAATCATAGATGTCTCCCAAGGCTCTGTCTTAGGTCCTTTTTCTTTTTCCTTGTATATTATCCCATTTGGTGCCCTCATCAGATCCCATGGGTACATCTCTGTGCACATGATTCCCCGATCTAGACCGTCAGCCCTAGTCTCCATCTTGAGCTCCAATATTGCATCCCAAACTGGTTGTCTAGGAGGCATCTCGAACTCAACCTGTACAAAACAAAATTTGTTATCTTCCCCAAAAAACCTTCTGAACTTTCTTACTAAGGGCATCACTATCCTTCTTCTGCTTCTTCCCATTAAACCAAATATACTTTTCCCATGATGAAAGCACTTCTTGTGAAATCTCCTCCTATGGATTCAGAAGGAGACAATGCCTTCCCAGCTATCAAATCTAGAGCATTCTTTTGACACTCTCACTTTATAACCTTTTCTCCTTTGAAGTTAATGCCATATACTCATAACAACTCTTTCTAATATCCAAAGTCATTTCAAGGACATGTTCTCATACTGGCTCATACTCTCATTGTCACCCCATCCCCTGCTAGCATCTTTAGGAAGTTGAATGAACCTCCCTGGCTTCCCAGTTCCATCAAAGTTCACTGGGGTTTTTTTTCCTGTTCCTGGCCTTCATACTTTAGACCTCACCAAAACACAAAACTTGGAAATTCTCCTCTCTGGCCACAATTTTCTATCCTTTTGTTCCTCTGACCCCATCCCTCTCCACTCTCCCTGATCTTCAGCCTCTCAACATTCTCCTATTCTCTAAGTCTGTTACAAGTGACCTCTTATGCTGACTCTACCTGTCTTCCCAAACAGCCTTGATCTGATCAGCTAATTTAATGATATGATCTCAGCCACCCTAGCATCTCTCCCTGCCTCATCATCATGATGTGTCCACCACATGAATAGCCAGCAGATATGTAGATTAATTCACTGATAACAGGAGTAATTGCCCCAGGCTTGATATGCTACAAAAATCCATTTGCATTATAGATTATAGGATAAATGATTTTTCTTCATTGGAAGAGGCTTTCAATTTAATTCACACAGAATCACAGAATATTGGAACCAGAGGGGACTTAAGAAAAGATCTAGTCCAAGAGATACCTAACCCAAAATTCCTTCTATGACATCCCTAATAAGTGAGTCTCCAGTGAGGGAGAAGCCACTACTATTCCCAATCTTGTTAGATCTCTAACCATTAATTACTGTTATCTCAAGCCAAAATTTGTCCTCTGGGACCAATGAAAAAAATGCCTAACCTCTTTTCCACAAGAAAACCCTTTAAATATTTCAAGACAATTCATAATAATTCTCCCTACTCCCCCCTCCCCACATCACACACGCACACCTACACACACACACACACCTACACACACACACACACACACACACACACACACACACACACACACACATCTTCTCTTCCCCAGACTTAACATCCCAAGCTCCTTACTCTTGTGTTGAAGCTCTTTTCCCAGTCACCACTCCCTGTCCCCTCATAACTATCTGTGTCGTCACCATTTCTTGGGTGTCCCTTTCCCATCCTTCCCTATCCTTCCATTGTGCCATCGGGACTCTATGTTCTATTGTCAAGATTACCTTCCAAATTACACTTCCTCCCTCCCTTACCCAGAAGTCACTTTATGTTTATTTTGTATCTGCTTATATTTGCACATGTCCACTCCCAAACAAATAAGTGATCTCTTTGAGGGTAGGGACTGTTTTATTTTGTCTTTGTATCACCAACACGTAGAACAGTACCTAGTGTGTGGTAGGCACCTAAAATAACCACTGGCTGAATTCAAATGAAGTGAACTCGTCCTCTTATAGCATGATCGCTAATCCCGCTGACATCTTGGTCATCCTCTTCTAGATTCCCTCTAGTTCGTCAATATCCTTCCCAAAATCTGTCCAGGGAAGGTAGGACTATCGTCCCCCTGCTTCAGAAGGGTGAAGCACAGAGGTGAATTAACCTGTTTGGCTACCATGTCACATCGGTGGTTCACCTCCACTAAAATGGATCTACCACGTGCATAGAGCACTGGCTTAGATACCAGGAGAGCTGTAACATTCAGAAAAGACATAGTCCCTACTTTCATGGCGCTTGCAATCTAGCAGGGAGATAGACTTAGGACTATGTTGTTCCAAGGCCCCATCTGTTTCTAATCTTCCTACAGTATCTTCTTCTCCCTCTACCCTGCTATCTTCTTATATGGAAATCTCCTCTTTTCTTTGAGGCCCCACTCAAGTGCCCCTCCTTATTGAAGGTTTCCTTGACCCACCATATGAAAGAAATTTTCCCTTCTCAAGGTACTCAGAGCATCTTACCTGAACCTCTCCTTTGTGCTTCTCTTCTTCTGCTTTGTATCAGTCAGTTATATACTTGCCCTTTCTCCATTAGACTATAAGTTCCTTGAGAACAAGGCCTGGGAGCTAGCTGTCCATGGAGCTAGCCCCAAAGCACAGTGCTTTGCACATATTTCAGTACTTATACTCCAGGGGATCTGTGATTTCATCAGCATGGAATCCCCTCCAGCAGGACTATTCATAACCCTTCCAGGACCCTCTCATTCATGTCTTTAATAGATCCTTTGTAACAGATATCCCCAGTGTGCTGGAGGCCCTACTCTGATTCTTTTCATATTTTGTGGCACTCATTTCAGCACTGGAGCTGTCCATCTGTTAGTCTTTGCTCCATTATCCCTTGCAAGAGTGGCCCACATCCTTTTCTGACCATAGACAGCTTTGCCGCTCTTGCTTCAGCCACTTCATGCACAGTCATGACTCATGTGCACTTAGCAGCTGATTAATAAATGTTTGTTAAGGGCGGGGGCAAGGCCGGGACGGCGGAAGATGGCGTCCTCAGTCGATGCTCCGGCAAGTGTACTCGATCTTCTTCCGCAGGACCTCCACCTTCGTGCTCACCAGCGCCGTGGGCGTCTTGTTCTTCGAGCGCGCCTTCGACCAGGGCGGTGACGCCATCTACGAAAGCATCAACCAAGGGAAGCTGTGGAAGCCCATTAAGCACAAGTATGAGGAGGAATAGCTGCTGGCGCCAGGCGTGAGCTCCGGCCACGGGACCGATCTAGGGCCAGGAACAGCAGCCCGGGGAGAAGATCCAGTCAGACGCTGCATGGGACACGTTCATGGCATTCATTATTCCACCTCTGCTCCATCTGTTCCGAGAGCTGACAAATAAAGAGAATGTGAATTATCCGTGACAAATAAATAAATAGATAGATAGATTAGATAGATAGATAGATAGATGAGATAGATAGATAGATAGATAGATAGATAGATAGATAGATAGATAAATGAGTGAATGAACGAACGAATGAATGAATGAATGAATGAATGAATGAATGTTTGTTAAGGCAACATAATGGAGTAGGAAAAGCACTGGATATGGAGTTGAAAGGCCTGAGTTCAAATCCCAACTCCACTCACTGACTGCATCAGCCATCTCTGAGACTAAGCTAGAGCACTTAAAGCCCTCAGGGTGGGATGGAGCAGCAATTTTGCTTCTGGGCACTCAGAGATTAGATGCTGAGTATTTGTACCAGACATGTGCAGAGTGTCTGGAATACAGAGTACCTCCTACTGAGTGTACCCCACCCCTGTCATCTTGGATTGAGGCTCCAGGTTGAACACAAAACATGAATCTAGCCAAGACTTCCTCTACCCCTCCAGGGCCCAATCACCACATTCATTCTTCCTCAGCCATCAGAGTCTCAGAACAATAAAAGATTCTGGTCTCTGAGAACCAGAGGCAATCAGAGCTCAAGTTGAGTTCATAGTCAGACATTGGAGGGCTCTATAGCATCGGACTCCCCTGTACACTAGTCATTTATCACTCTATTGTGGACAAATTCCAGGTTCCCATCCCCTTGTCCTCAGGTTTCAGAGTCAACATTTACTGAGACAACAGTCTTCTTCCCTTCCCATCTCTCATCCCTATCCACCTCAATCTTCCACAATCTATGCTGTCCTATGTCCTCACATCCAATTTTGCCTTCTGGAATCCTTTCTCTAATGTTAACACAGTCACCTCTATCCTATGTTTCTGATTTACAATCTTTCCACCTTCTTTCACTATTTAAAAACTAACCTAGTTCATAAACCTTTCTCCATTCCCTTCACACTCCAATCCTCCTACCTTCACAGCAGCTATCACATTTCTTCCTAACTTTCCTATTACCACTGAGGGTATCACCATCCTCCCAGTTACCCAAACTTGAAATCTTGGTGATGTCTTCAACTCCTTTCTCTTACCCCCACTTATCCAATCAGTTGCCAAATTCTATTAATTCTACCCTCATAACACTTTTTATATACAGCTTCTTCTCTCTTCTAACACTTCCACCACCCTGGTACAAGCCTAGATCATTTCGTAGCTAGACTATTTCAATAACTGCTGGTTCTTCTTCCTGCCTCAAATCTCTCCCCTCTCCAGTCCATCCTCCACTAAGCTGTCACATTGATCTTCCAAAATTCATCTGACCATGTTACCTCCCCTATTCAATAAATTCCAGTGGCTTCCTGTTACCTCCAGGATCAAATAGAAAATCTTCTGTTTGGCATTTAAACCCTTTCCCAACCAGGCCTCTTCCTCTCTTTCCAGTCTTCTTATACCTTATTCCCCTCCACTTTGCAATCCAATAACATTGGCCTCCTTACTGTTCCTTAAAAAAGTCACACCTTCTCCCAAATCCGGGCATTTTCAGTGACTGTCCCCCATGCCTGTAATGATCTTCTCCCTATTCATCTCTGATGCCAGCTTCCCTGGTTTCCTTCAAGTCCCAGCTAAAAATCTCACCTTCTACAGGAAGCGTTTCCCAGTGCCTCTTAATCCTCGTGCCTTCCCTCTGATGATTATTTCCAATATATCCTGTATATGGCACATAATGTGTAGTATATATTGTTTGTACATGGTTGTCTGCATGTTGTCTCTTTCATTAGATTTCTGAGCTCCTTGAGGACAAATCGACTTTTCCTGTATCCCTGGTGCTTAGCACAGTACCTGGTACATAGCAAACTCTTAATAAATGCTTCCTTGCTTGATGACAGCTGAGTTTCTCTCTTTGCTTATGTGGTTTCCACCTTAGCTGAGGCCTCATTTCCCACCTGTGGTGTTGCAGCAGTCATTTACCGTATTTCCATGCTTCAAGTATCTTGTCAGAGAGCACTGGGTTCCAAGTAAAAGACAGGGCATAAACATTTCTTTGTTAAGGCTTCTGGGAACTGACATGAAGTGAGGCGAGTAGAACCAGGAGGACAATTTATATAACAGCAATACTGCAAAGATTAAAAAAAAAAGCTTTGAGAGACTCGGGAACTCTGACCAACACAATGACCAATGAGTGTGAAAGGACTCGTGATGAAAGCTGCTCTCCACCTCCAGACAGAAAGCTCATAAACACAAAGTGAGAGCAGAAGCACGTTGTCTTTTTTTTCTTTCTGGACACTGCTAATGTGGGGATTTGTTATATATTGCTACATGTATTTTAATGGGTTTTGTTTTCCCAACCTTCTCCATAGTATGAGAGAGAATCCAGAACTGAAAATAAATAAAATTGAATTGTAACAATTTCTTTCTTTGCATAATTCCTGAATCATTGGACCTGTTTATAGCTCCACCAACAGTGTATTGATATGCCTATCTCTCCACAATCCATCCAATATTGCTTATTCCCAATCTTTTTCCATCTTTGCCAGTTTTGCAGAATGTTAAATGAAACCTCAGAGTTGGCATTTCTCTCATCATTAGCCATTTGGGGCGCTCTTTCATGTGCCCCATGTTAATAGTTAGCAATTCTTTTGAAGAATATTGGTTCATATTCTCTGACCACTTAGGCAAGGTGGGAAATTATACAGAATATGTGTTAATTCTCCATACGTCTTGAATATCTGACCCTTATCAGGGATGTATGGTGAAAAGCTACCATTAGACAGTCCTTTTATTCAGCTCTCATTTAATTATCACATTACCCTCGGCACCAAACCTTTTCTTATCTCAGTTTCTCTAATTCTCCGTTTTGTCTCAAAGCTAAATCTAAATTCAACAAATATGTTTTAATCACCTATGAGGTACAAAGCATGGTGCTAGGTACTGAAAATACAGTCACAAAAAGCGGGGGGGGGGGAGGATCCTTGCCCCCAGGGACCTTACAGTCTAGTGAAGGAAGAGGATCAGAATAAAACACACACATTTTGGGACAGCTCTTTGTCCTAGGAAAATTCTCCTGGTTCTGCCCTCTGGGCAGAAAACAGGTCTATTGTCTTGTCTCTATGACAGCTCTTCAAACACTTGATGACAGCTATCAGGTCTGCCCTGAGTCCTCTATTCTCCAGGCTAGATAGTGCACATATGGCATGGCTTCCAATTGCCTCCGTATCCTGGACTTCTTGTTCTGGACACTCTCCTTCCAATCCCTGTCCTTGTGGCACTCACAACTGCACACAGTCCTACCTTGCAGTGAAATATGGAGTCCAGTGAAGCAGAACTCCAGCTTCTCCGGCCCAAATTTTCATTTTCTAGAGGTGGAAACTATGGCCCTTAGGAGTTAAATGACCTAACCGAGGACAGAGAGTTCCTAAATGACAGGACCAAGATGGCGCTAAGGTCTTCAGACACCAAGCGCAGGATTGCTGCCTCTATGTTGCCAACTCTGATGTCTTCCTGATACCCCAGCCATATTTCTAGCTTTCTATAGGTTATAAGCCAGCAGCTTTCAAGTATTCAGCTTAAGTATTAAGGCTAAGTGCTTAAATAAAATATTAGCAAAAAGAAAGATGATGCCTGGCCTCAAAGAGCTTACATTCTAATAAAAGAAGACAACATAAAGAGGAGAGCTAAAAGGGAGTGGAGGGAGAAAAGTACCTGCCTCAGGAGCTTGGTACTCAGAAGCACAGCCAAGAAGGGAATAAATCTGGGCAGGACTGGGCTTCTCCCCAAATTAGAGATGATTATAACCACCTGGTCCCCCATTATCACCTAAAACTCATCATATCCAACACCAAACTTATGATCTTCTCCTATACGGATACATGCAAAGTTCTACAATAAGCTTCAACAAAATCAACTTTACAAGTGCACACTGGGAGAGGTACAGGAGATAGTGGTTCCTGACTACAATAGCCAGGAAGCTTTGGGGGATTCCAAGCTAAATATAAAACAATAGTTTGATACACACACACACACACACACACACACACACACAACACACACACACCCCTCTGGTTTTCCTGGATTCCTTCAAGATAGTTCAAATCTCATCTTCTGCAAAGGCCTTTTCTGGTTCCCTACCTGCCCATTCCCTCTGAGATCCCTTCCCATTTACACTATACATGTCTTATATAGCTATTTACATGCTGTCTCCTCCACTGCACTATAAACCCCTTGAGGGCAGGGACTGCCATTCACCTTTCTCTGTATCCCCTGAGGATATCACAATACCAGCCTAGCACCTACTTAATGTTTCACAAACGCTTGCTGATTAATATGCCATCTTCATGGGTAATAGTCCTACTACATTTCATCTTAGTTGGACCACATGTGGAATATGGTGGTCCATTCCTGATGCCACATCTTAGAAAGGATGTTGATAACCTGGATACATATATATTATATATGTAGATACTCGTACATAGAGGAGAGCAATCTGGATGGTGAAAGGCCTCAAAATTATGCTGTATTGTGCAAGATTATGGAAGGGAGGAGCTAGGCATAGCGTAAAGCAATTAGGGTTAGGGTTAGTAAATCAATCCAATTACCCCAACACCCCTAAAGTAACTGATTAAATGCTATCTCTTCACCAGAGATTAAATTAAATCAAATCAATCAAAAGCATTCCTTTTGTTTGATCACTTTAAATGTCTCTGATGTTCCATTGGGTGGGTCAGAAGTGATGCTGCAAAGGAAGAGCATTTGGATTGGTTGAGGAAGCCTGGGAGCTTAGCCCTGCAGAGGACTTCCTATCTTCCCATCTGCATCTTCCCCACATCCCTGGAATGTCTGAGGGCAGTGGCTACATCAGAAGCCAAAAC